GATGGACTTGATTTGTGTTTCTGGACTCAAATCAATGAAATACAGTTCTTGTTCCAGGAAGGCCCCTCAAGGCCAGATTTGACCTGAGGCCTAGTTCACTACAGTCCTGAAGGAGAATATGGCAAATAATGTAGTATAGTTGAAAAGAGTGTCAAATAGGGTGATGTGCCTGAAGGTAGAAGGTCTGATGCTAAATGTTGTCAGTCATTATGCTCCACAGGTTGGATGTGATGGGGAGGAGAAAGATACATTTTGGAAAGATCTGGATGAAGTGATGGAGAGTATTCCCAGGGAGGAGAGAGTGGTGATCAGAGCAGACCTGAATGGACATGTTGGTGAAGGAAACAGAGGGGACGAGGAAGTGATGGGTAGGTTTGGTGTCAAGGAAAGAAACCAGGACGGACGGACAGATGGTTGTGGATTTTGCCAAGAGAATGGAAATGGCTGTAGTCAATACCTATTACCAAAAGAGGGAGGAACATAGTGACCTATAAGAGTGGAGGAAGGAGTACGCAGGTTGACTATATTCTGTATAGAAGAGGAAACCTGAGGGAGACTGGGGACTGTAAGGTCATGGCAGGGGAGAGCGTGGCCAGACAGCATCGGATGGTTCTGTGTAGAATGACTGTTGTGAACAAGAGAAAAAGAGTAAACTCAGAGAAGAAGACCAAATGGTGGAAGATGAAGACAGAAGAATGTTGTGAGAAATTCAGTGAGGAGCTGTTAAAGGCTCTGGGTGGTAAGAAAGAGCTTCCAAATGACTGGACTACTACAGCAACAGTAATTAGAGAGACAGGTAGGAAGGTACTTGGTGTGTCATCTGGACAGAGAATGGATGATAAGGAAACCTGGTGGTGGAATACTGAAGTGCAGGAAGATATTCAAAGAAAGAGGTTAGCCAAGAAGAAATATGACAGTGAGAGGACTGAAGAGAGGAGACAGGAATATAAGGAGGTCGGACGTAGAGCAAAGAGGGAAGTAGCTAAGGCAAAGCAGTGGGCGTATTATGAGTTGTGTGGCGTCGGGACGAGGGCTGGATGCGGGTCACCGGTCACCCAGAGGCCCCCTCTCGGACCCAGGACCCACTTCCACCCCACGTCTCTTCCCCTGGCTCGAATCTCCCTCAGAAGTGGTAACCCACAATTTCAATAAATCAAGGAAACATGAATTCAGTTTTACCAATTGTATTAAAATCAAGGCAGGAAAAGGTTACAGTTTACAGTGCTGGTCTCTCCGGTCTGTGACGCGATCACAAACCCGGAAGAGCCCCATGTCCCATGTCATTACTCATTTATAGGGCCTAGACTCTTCCTTTACAGAAGGGGAGCTCAGCCTGTCAGTGTATGAGGGGGCGTGACTAAGTGGGATCTCAGTGGAACTTATGTGGTTATGACATGAAAGGAAATATGAGACGGTGCTTCAAAAAGCCTTTCTACGTGATGTGGCAATCAGAAATAAACTCTATTCCTTGACAGATATTGAATCCCAGGGAGACTATTTTAGAGTTGCTGGCCCAGTTTAACCCAGTCAGAACCGGATCATAATTTCATTATAATCCCGTCTCTGAGCAGATCAAAACCCCAGGACCTTTCTAGATAAAAATATCTAACCGTTGTATGGGAGACTGGACACTAAACAGGGCAAGAAAGATTTGTACCGATTGGCAAGACAGAGGGATCAGGCTGGAAAGGACGTGCATCAGGTTAGGATTATTAAGGATAGGAATGATAATGTTCTAACAAGTGAGGACAGTGTGATGGGAAGATGGAAGGAGTACTTTGAGGAGCTAATGAATGAAGAGAATGAAAGAGAAAGAAGAGTAGAGGTCATAGAATCTGTGGACCAGGAAGTGAGAAAGATTAGTGAGGGTGAAGTCTGGAAAACTCTGAAAAATATGAAGAAGGGGAAGGCAGTAGGACCCGATGACATACCAGTTGAGGTTTGGAAATGTCTTGGTGAGATTGCAGTGAAGTTTTTGACTCAAATATTCAATGCCATATTTGAGGGTGAGAAAATGCCTGCGGTATGGAGAAGAAGTGTGCTGGTGCCCATTTTTAAGAACAAGGGTGTAGCAACTACAGGGGAATCAAGTTGATGAGCCACACAATGAAGATCTGGGAGAGAGTTGTAGAAGCAAGACTTAGATGAGAGGTGACTATCTGTGAGCAGCAGTATGGTTTCATGCCAAGAAGGAGCACCACAGATGCCACCTTTGCTTTGAGAATGCTGATGGAAAAGTACAGAGAGGGTCAGAAAGAACTCCATTGTGTCTTTGTGGATTTAGAAAAAGCATATGACAGAGTGCCGAGGGAGGAGGTGTGGTATAGCATGAGGAAATCTGGAGTGGCAGAAAAGTGTGTTAGACTGGTACAGGACATGTATGAGGACAGCAGGACAGTGGTGAGATGTGCTGTAGGAGTGACAGATAGCTTCAAGTTGGAGGTGGGATTGCATCAAGGATTGGCTCTGAGCCCCTTCTTGTTTCTCTGGTGATGGACCGACTAAAAGATGAGGTCAGACAGGAATCCCAATGGACTATGATGTTTGCAGATGACATGATCTGTAGTGAGAACAGGGAACAGGTGGAAGAGAACTTGGAGAGGTGGAGGTATGCACTTGAAAGAAGAGGAATGAAAGTCAGCTGTAGTAAGACAGAGTACATGTGTGAATGAGAGGGAGGCCGGTGGAACAGTGAGGCTACAAGGAGCAGAGGTCACAAAGGGGCAGGACTTCAAGTACTTGGGGTCCACTATCCAGGAAAATGGGGGGTGTGGTAAATGGGTGAAAAAGAGAGTCGAGGCAGGATGGAGTGGATGGAGAAAAGTTTCAGTATTGATTTGTGACAAAAAGGTGTCAGCAAAGGTCAAAGGAAAAGTTTACAAGACAGTGGTGAAACCAGCTATATTGTCTGGTCTGGAGACAGAGACATGGACAAAAAGACAGGAGAAAGAACTAGAAGTGGCAGAAATGAAGATGTTGAGGTTCTTCTTAGGAGTGACGAGGATGGATAAGATTAGGAATGAGATCATCAAAGGTACAGCACAGGTTGAACAACTGGGAGATGAAGTTAGAGAGGACACACTGAGATGGTTTGTACATGTCCAGAGGAGGGACAGTGGTTATATTGGTAGAAGGATGTTAAATGCAACTGCCAGGAAAAAACAAACAAAGAGGAAGGCCAAAGAGGAGATATATGGATGCAGTTAAAGAGGACATGGTGGTAGATGGAGTGAGGACAGAGGATGCAGAGGACAGAGTGAGATGGAGGAGGATGACTCACTGTGGCAACCCCTGAAAAG